TTGAAGCCACTGTGTGTGTGGTGACTTGTAGCGGCAGCCTGGGAGACGGATACAAGCGAGACGCTGACGCGTTGTCCAGCCCGCTCACACGTCACCCATGAGAATCCCAAGCACCTGGTGCAGACGTGGGGAGGGGGCAGCCCACGTGGAAGGAGGTGCTGAGCTGGTCTGCCTGCTCTGGCCGAGCGCTGTCATGCCTGTCACTAGTCCGGAAAGATGTCTTTCTGACATCTAGGGCCTCCTGAAGAAATGACGAATAAGGAAGACCAGGAGTGGGCCATCCTGTGGAATAACTATACTGTTCCTTAAAGGTGAAGTTAAGTGTAATTTCCTTTGACAAGTTTCACTTTCCTCGCGGGTGGTCTGATGTTAGCAGCTAAGGACTCCGTGGGGAACCGTGCTGAACTAGGTGTGGCTGTGGGGGAGGACTCTCCCGGGACCTTCTGTCTCTCATCTTTGTGAATCACCCTGGCTCCCGCTGGCTCGTGCGTGCCCTTGCACACCCTGCCCCTTCCCACTCGACACCAGAGTGTGTTTCAGAAGGGCCTTCCTTGTATCTGACTTTCAAAATCAGTTTTGAGTCTCTTTCTCTGCTACTACTCAAATTTCATTTTCTTTTCGAAGCCTTCACTAGCTGTGTTTTACAACTGTGCCTATTTTGCGTCTACGTGCTATTTCTAGAGCTCTGCGAGGCTGGCATTTTGAGGGGTGGGATGCTTCTCTTGCTCTCAGCTGGTGCCCTTTGCGGTACTTGCCCTGGCTGTCCTGGGGGAGGCTGCAGCCCGGCCTTGTGCCCCTCTGCCGGAGGCGGCAACAGTGCGGGGGTCCTGGAGCTTCAGCACTACCTGCCCCTCGAGGAGAAGTCCCGTACCTCTGAGATCCTTCCTGACTGTGCAGTGCAGCCACTGGGGGTGGGTTTTCCTGAGCCCGCCCACGTGACTCTGCCTGTCCCACCCTTCTTGCTGCGGCCCCTGGGTGTGGAGGTCTGTGGTCGGTGCCCAGTCCACCTCAGGGGTTATCCCACGTGTAGTTGTTGCTTCTGGTGTCTGTGGGATCAGCCGAGCTCAGGATCCTCCTGCTCTGCCATCCTGCAGGCCTCTTCCCCTCGTTGCTCACGTCAGTTTAGATTTCTGACTTACAGAAGTTTGTAAATAGGGCCAGTGGAAGGCGCCACAGTGAATAAGTTGTCTGGCTCAGGACCCTGGCCCTTTAGCAGCACATTGTCTCACCTGGCTGCTCGCGTCAGCTGGTGTCTGCTGCAGGAGACCCCCGAGGGCACGGCGAGGCTGCTGTCAACCTGGAGAAGGGAGCGCCACGCTTATCTGCAGCATTTAACAGATGATGACAGAGGAATGGAGAGTTCAGACTTAAAGCCTGATTCTCTAAAGTCATCTTCCAATGAGTTAGTTAGATACCAGACTGTTAGTTTCAAGACTTGGTAGCATTGACCCTTGCAGAGAGGCAGCACTTCTACCTTCACCCCCTCCTCCTCTCTGCATTTTTGAGTCTCCATTGCAAGAGGGAATCAAGCATTAGTTGAAGACCTAAAGTTCACTATGTGCTGTATACTAAGTCCATTCACTTGGGTTGTCTCACTTAACTGTCATGCTGTTTTCGGTACAGGTATCTTCATCCCCTTTTTTTTTTTGGATGAGGAAGTGGTGTCTTGGAGAAATCAGTGAGCTGTAAGTGAGGGAGCCTGGATTCACACTCAGCCCAGTCTCCATCCATTCAGTGCCTCTGCCCCCTGCTCCTGTGTCTTGCTCAGCAGCTTGTAGGAAAGGCGTCTAGGAGAGGACATACTACAAATGCAGAATAATGTATCTCTGCATGAAGGTCAGCATCTTATAGGATAACCTTATTTCATTTGAAAGATTCAGAGGGAGATTCTGGGTGTCGTGTGTTTGAGGAGCAAACTGCATTGTTCCCATCGCAAGCCCTGCAGAAATTCAGCAAGAGGAGGCATCTCTGCAGGCTGCTGTCATCAAGACGGCTTCCCAGAAGAAGGGAGATTTTCACTTGGCTTTGGAGAGCGGAAAGTCTGAGAAGGTGAACAGTCCATTTTACAGCAGAGGAACCCTGGAGGCAAACCCAAAGATGAGTCTAGTGCCAGATTTCTCCGAAGCATTGAGGACATTGAGTTGACCACAGTGAGAGTCAAACTGTGACGTGGGTTTGGTCAGTTAAGATGAGCTAAAGTCCAGTGTGGTGGACAGTCGGGCGCTATTGCAGGGAACATTTTCCCTCCAGCCAGAGATTCACCTGTCCAGCCCGCACCGTCTCAGTGGGGATTGTTTATGAGCCCGGCTGTTTGGGGAATACAGATAAAGCATGTGAGGCCCAAGGTCTCAGAAGAATGTGAGCAAGGAAACCAGAAGGGAAAGATACTAAGGAAAAGAGGAAGCATTTTCTTATCTGTCAGTTGAGCTTTCCCACATGTCCTTTCGATCTGCATTTTCTTCACATGCCACCTCCTGCCACAGGCCTCCCTGAATGGTGGTGGTTTCTTGTTCTTCACTTAGACTTACTTTTGAACATGTCCCCGATCCTCAGCTGGACTGCGAACTCAGAGAAAGCAGAGTAGATCTTGTTCATTTGGTAAATGCAAACCACTTGCAAATCCCTGTATCCAGTAAATAAAACGTGAGACTAATATGTGTCAGGCAGGATGCTGGCTGCCAAGGGTCCATAGTTTTTGTTGGATTGAATGCTGTGACGAGACAGAGCTGGACGTCTTGATGGGCCGGCCTTACTGTAGTCTTTGTGGATTTATGAGTTGCTGTCGGGAGAAGGAGAGAGAAGCCTTCTGGGGTTAGAGCAAGCGTTGAGGAGGCGGAGCAGCACTGCGGAGCCAGACTGTGCTCAAAAGGCAGTGCCGGCCGGTGGGATGACTGTGAACAGCAGCAGCAAGACCAGGAGGGGCCAGGAGCCTTCCACGGAGGTGCCCTCGGCCACGCTCGGAGGCACCAGCCCCTGGGTCTGTGCACCCAGGCTCAGTTTTTCTTTCTGTCCCTTCGTCTCCTCACCTGCGAATGTGTCCATGTGGTCCTTTGCATGCTGGGAACTGGGCTGGGGAGGCATTAGTTGCTTAAGTCCCATCGGGGCTGTGGTCCCCTGATTCCCTGCAATGCTTTCTTGGTTTTGAGAGCATCAGTGAGTGATGTTCCCTAAGATGCCTACTCTGTTCCTTTATTCTTGGCTTACACACTGATAGGTTCTTTTTTAATGACCAAAACCAAGAGTGTCACTGCAGAGACAGGACAGGTGAGACAGTACAAAATAGCATCTCTCTGGGACACCTTTCTCATTGTACAGTGACTCACCTCTGTTATTTTATTTACTTAAGGTTAGCTATTTGAAATCATAGTGGAAAGAACCAGACTTCTTAGTCACTAACAGCCTGTCACAGTTTTAATTCTGAAGTTGACATCACAGGATTGAAATTTGCTAGGATGCCCACGCCAAGCATGCTATAGGTGTGTGACAGCTGAGAAACACCTCAAGAAACTTATCTGACCCAGAATGTTGCTTCTTGTGTTTGCATGGCCAACACGCTTGCTTTGGGAAAACAGGCGTGTTGAACTGAGAGGTGTGTGCTGCACTGTTTGAAGGCCAGGCCGGTTTCCTGCATCGGTCTCCAGTGGTGCCAGCCTGTAGGGTGTGCCCTTCGGCTGAGCGACTGTGTTAGCTCGTGGTGCCTTCTAACGCTCCTTTGTCCACCGAAGCACCTGTCGCGGAGTCTTCAGTTCAGTCACTGAAGATACTTCTCTAAGGTCATTTGTTTTTCTTTCTAGGGTTAAAGGTCCTGCACAATTTTCCTTCTGACTCACATTTGCAGAGGTTCTCAGAATGCCTGAAAAACGAACAGTGCCTGCTCTGTTCTAAAGTCTTAGGTGATTTTCCCCGTGGGGCATATACACTTACTTCTTAAGTTCTTGTAATTCACTTGAAAATGTACATTTACTCAAACTAATAAAATTTTCTTCTGGCTGTATATTTTCCTGCATTACATCATCTTATTAAGCACTAGAATCCCTCAAGCCTGGATTTCCCCTAAAGATTGTGGGAACTTTGTGACTGGCTTCATAAAATGAACTCTTATTCTGTGGTGGTCTAAAAATAGTTGTACCAAACCGCAAAAACATATTGCAAGTGACTTAGATGAATGCTTTTCTTCTGTGCTCAGGAGTTATTCGGTGATGGGGTGGGACGGACCCTCAGACATCATTTGAGCGAGCCTTTTACTTTAAAGATAAGAAAAGTGATTTGCTCACAGTCCACACTGAGTCCTTGGCCCTGCCAGCCCTGAACTCCCATCTCTGCATTTCCTACTTTGAGGAGAAAATGCCCAGCTCTGGAATCCTACCGACATAGCTTCATGTTGCAGCTCGATCCTTGATGTTTCTGTGTTGACCTTGAGAAATCTCAGCCTCTGTCATCTCAGTCTGTTCATTGCTGAAGCGGGTGACTCCGTGGTAGACTCCTCAGGGAATCTGAAGGCCAAGTAACGACATCACCCTTGCGAAGAGACTAGTCTGGGGTCTGGCGTGGAGGGGCCGTTTGACGATTGGTGGGCCGCATTCTTACTGTTATGTGACGGGGTCAACAGTGATGAATGCTTATATTACTAGGATGAAGCCATATGAAGAAGAAGTAGTTATTTCCATAAACAACTGCTTCAGAAAGGCATGTTGAGTGTGTGTAGGGAGATTAAACGCATTTTTTGCTGTTGTCCTGTTGATTTGAATTGGCACCCTTGGAAGTTGAGTCCTGCCCAGAAGAGCTGATCCTGCAATTTGGGCAGGATGCCACTAGGTGGCAGGGGTTTCCATCACCAAATGGATGATTACAGGAGAGATAATTTGAACATTTCCTATTCATACCCATTTTACAGTAGCCTGCCTTATCGTCACCACCTACGCACATTTAGCAAGATGGTGTAATTGACGTGACCTTGAAGTCAGGTATGCTTGGGTTTGAAACTCTCCTTCCACTTCTAGGTCAACTTCATCAAGCCCTGGGGGTAACCAACACCCCGATCAGGAAGCAGAGCACTGCCTGCGCCCCAGGTACTCCCCTCGCGCTTTCAGCGTCACGCTCTGCCCCTCAAGGTAAACACTGGTCTGCCCTCTCTCACCACGCATTTGTTTTCCATATTTATAAATTGATTATAAATAGAATCATACAGTATGCACTCTTTTATGTCTGTCTTTTGCTTACTATCGTGCTTTTGAGATTCATCAGTCCTGTTTTGTGTTTTCACCACAGTACAGTATTTCCTTGACCACTTACTTACACTGCTCTTTATCCAGTATGTAATTAATGAACGTCAAAGCTGTTTTCCATCTTTGGCTGTTAGAATAATGGTGCTAGGAATAGTCTTACAATGTGTTTTGGGGCACATACGTGTGCGGTGTTTTGGAGCACATACGTAGGAATGGAGCAGCGGGACACAGGTGTGCGTACGTGAGCGCTCTGGCGCACACTGACGGGGTTCTGAAGTGGCCGCGCGGGTTCCATTTCCCACCGGGTGCCTGGGAGGGTTCCAGTTGCCCCGCATCTCTGATGATCTTTAAAAACTGTTCCAGCAAGTATATAGCGGTGTCACATGGTGTTTCCAACACGAGTTTCCCTGATGAGTAATGGTGTTGAGAACCTTTCTGTGTATTTATGAGTCATGTATTTATGAGCCATTTGCACATGCTCTCTGTGAAGTTTCTGTTCAGGACTGTTACCTAGGGTTGAACAGGTACCTGTTACCCTGCTCTTGTTACCTAGTTCTTCATACGTGCTGGGTGAAAGCCCTCTTGTCCAACTCATTGGCTGGCCTTTCATTCTCTTCCTGGCATCTTCTAATAAATAGGAACTCTTGATTTAATGGAGTTTAATTTACCACTCTTTATGTTTGTGCTTTAGTTTGGGCGTGGTGTCTTTTTGAAGTATGAGCCTGCTCCAAGGTCGTCATGACCTCCTGCTCTCCCAGTTACTGCCCAGAAGCTTTACATTTGGGTCAGCGCGGAGTTGATTTCTGTTTGTGGTGGGAGGTGGGGATTCGGGTATTTTTATTTTACTGGTGGCCGACTGTCCCCACACTGTGTGTTGGAAAGACCACTCTCCCCCCAGCGTGCTGCAGCATCGTCTCTACCCTGGTGCATGTGAACAAATGTGTTTCAGGCGCTCGGCTCTGTTCCTCCTCCTGTGTAGTGTTGGGCCCCTGCAGTCTACTGGGCTGTGTAATGAGGTGTCTTGTCCGGAAACTTAGGGTGTTTAAACTCATTCTTTGTTTTCAGGTTTGTTTTTGAATGTTGTCAACCCTTTCAAATTTTCATGTAAATTTTAGAATCAGCTTGTCAATTTTTACAAGATCCGATATAATTTGGTTAAGATCAGATCTATAGATAAATTTGGGTGTGCCCTGGCTAGTGTAGCTCAGTGGATTGAGCTCGGGCCTGTGAACCAAAAGATCGCGATTCGATTCCCCATCAGGGCACATGCCTGGGTTGCAGGCCAGTTCTCAGCAGAGGCCAGTTCCCAGGAGGGGATGCACCAGAAGCAACCATACATTGATATTTCTCTCCTTTCCTTCCCTTCCCTTCTAAAGATAAATAAATAAATAATTTTTTTTAAATTTGGGTGAACTGACCTCCTTATAATGAGTTTTCAAATCCACAGTGATATTGGAAATAACTGTATTTCTACAGTTATTTTTTGTCTTTAAAAAACTTCTCTCAGTGATGCTGTATCACTTCGTGCAGCAGAAGAACCAGAGTCGTCACCTTCCACGATCACGCAGCCAGTAAACGGGAGGATAGGGAAGTGAGCCAGGCCTCCCGTCCACGCGTCTCCTGCTGGGACCCGTCACAAGGCCAGCACCTGTGAACTCTACTTGGCTTGGCCTTTTCTAGTTTCTTTTTTCTCCAAAACCTGTGTGAGAAACTCTGCACTTTGGGGACAGTAAATTCAATTAACTTTTGTTAGGTAACTGCAGGCATTTGGAAAGAAGGGGCATTGATGCAGTGAGGCAGAGCCCAGAGGCCATGTTCTCTGTCCCTCACTCACATGTTATTGGGGTGAGGTCTGTGGGTCGGGCTGTGATGGGTGCTGGGGACACAGAGCTGGGTCGTGTGGGTGGTCCCCCAGTCCAGTCAGGGAAGTCTCGGCTCACAGAATCCATCCTCTTTCTCGTGCGGGCCCCATTGCCCAGCCCACCGTGCGGGTTCTGGAGGGAGCCGTCAGAGGTAAGGCAGGTGCTCTTGTTCTGGGACTGACTGTGGTCTCCATGGCTGGTGCCACTTGTGCCATAAAGTGAAACCCAACGTGATGTAATTGATCACGAGGCCCTCCTCTGCATGGGGCAGTCCTGACGTGGCCACCATGGTTTAGAACCTGCATGGATGGCCGGTAACGCAGCGCGGACGGCAGTTGCCGGCTCCACTGGACCACTTGGGCTTTTGTCTCCTTTAAGTCATCACGACTGCTTTGCAGACTGATGGAGCAGAACAGCTGGTGTGGTGCTTAAGGTGGAAGATGGGGAGGGGAGCATGATCCCTGGTCCCTGAGTTAGTTGGGATTCTTTGTCTGGAGATTACAGAAAAAGTGACTCAAACTGGCTTCAGCTACGAAAATCCGTGGTTTATGGTTGGTGACCTCAGGTGGGGAGTCATCGTCACTGGACAGTTTCTCAAGGACCCAAGTTTTCTCACTTCGGCTCGACTTTGTGCACACACCTTCAGGGTGACTCCCCTCATGCCAGCACAGTTGTCACCCAGCACCAGGCTCGGTGTGGGAACGTGAGCTCACGGGAGGGCCTCTCTTCCACTGTGTTGTCGCTCTTTCTTCCCAGGATTCCGCAGCAACCTCCCCGCCCCCGATCTCACTGGTCACCTGCTTACTGGAAAATGGTCCCGAGGCCGGGCACCGTCAGGCAGTGGCTGGCTTTGGTCAGCGACCAGAACTAGCTGTGCAGTAAGGAAACAGCCTGCACCTGAGTGGGTTCGATCCATCGGGACCCACCCAGGGCGCTGCACACGGGGCTCGGGAAAGGCCTGGAAGAGCCGCGCTGCAGGCAGGTCCTGCCAGGAGCTGGGAGAGGCAAGTGGGCGCTGAGGTGCTGCTTGAAATAAGCGCCTTGCGTTGCCCTGGGCCGAATTGGTTAGAGGCCGGGGCAGATGGAAGACGTGTCCTCCCCTGGGTTATTTCACTGCCCTCATCACAAGTGCTCACTGCGTGTCCACATTCCATGCACAGGCACACACAGATGGGCACACGGACACACTCACTGTTGTCTTCACACTCAAGGGCAGATGTTCACTCAGTCCTACCGGTCATTCCGAATCATTTCCATCAGGATCACAGGTACGATCAGTGGCCTCACGTGTTCAGTGACCATACTACTTCGTGGGTTCCGAGGGCAGGAAACTGCAGACTAAATTTACCCTCCCCACCGACGTGATCATGAGTACGGACGGGGCTTCAAACCTCCAACAAGGTTGGCAACCAGAAATACCACTTAATTAAAGGAGGCAGGAGAATTTCTACTTCACAGAGCTTAGGAGAAGCTCCAAGGAACCATGTAAGAATATATAGAGAAAAAGAGGCCATAGCAAACTCACTTCCCGTTACAGAGTCAGTGTCTGTCAGTGTCTGTCTGTCTCTCCAGCTGACTCCTGGGCTACACTTCTCAATACAGAGAAATGAGAATTTGACAGCTGGAGAAACTGTGAGACTCTTGCAGACAGGCCTGTTTACCATTCACCGTTTTTGACAGGAAGCGACTACACAGCAGTTCAGACCACACAGCCAGCCAGGCCGGCCCTTCCCTCCATCATGGGGACAGCACCGCACCGGCAGGTTGGCCGGGCACCGGACACTCAGCAGGAGGCAGGTAGATGGGGATGGGGACCAAAGCAAAACCACACGCTTGTTACGAGTGAACATCAAGGCTGAGGTCTTTCCTTCATCAGAGGATGGAACATGCAAGAGAGAGCTCGGGGGTCAAGAGGCCCAGAGAGAGTGCTCCTTTGGGAAAAATTTACGATCGGAAACAGCAGAAAATTGCTATAAAATATCTAATGAGCTCGGTAAACTTCAGGAAGCCAAGGATAAGATGAAAACACAATAGACTTTGATGAAAAGGGAGATGATTGTGATCGGAAAGCTTTTAAGGAAACTGGAATTTAATGACTTTTTAATGGTCGACAACAGATCTGGACTGAAAAACTTACAAAACGCACGGACTATCGCATTCCTTTTTAATGTGTGTGGTTACCAGATTGCATTCCACATCCCGCACCCTCTCTCCTTTGGACAGATGTTTTCAGTAGTTCAAAATTTGTTTTAAAAAGGGATGTTTAGCCTTTCTTTAGTGAAAAGGAAATTAAGTTTCTTCTTTTCCTATTTTGGCTTTTCAAAGAGATCAACCATCAATGAATGCCACATTGCTATTAAAACTGCTCCAAATGTTAATAACTCTGACTTCTTTAACAAGTGTTGGGACGTGTTGCCAATTAGACGTGGATTTAGGCTTTGTAAAATTATGGGGGTGAGGGGAGTTAGGCACACGGCTCTAGGGAGTGCACACTAAGTCCAGTAAGTCGGACACTGTATTTCACGGTGGCAACAAAGTCGTCGGATCGGAATCAACAGTAGTCGTGTAAAGATGCAGGCGAGCGCTGCGAAAGTTCAGTGAGAGAAGCAGAGCCGTGGTTTTCTGACTGAGCACCCTGGAGCCGCATGGGGGTGTCAGGCTGCCAAGCGGGGGGAGTTGATTTTGGGGAGCAGTGCCGCTCCTTAGCCCCACTTCAACCAGGGTAGCTGATCCTTTTATTTAAAAAAAAACAATTCTTCATAACGTGGGCATCTGTGATTTTGTTTGAAATTGTTCCCTCACGGCTAAAACCATGTGAAGACTCCTGGTATGGAATCAAATTGAGAAAGGCTTCCAGATTTGGAAGAAAAGTGCAAGGGAATGAAAAGTGAGAGAAGGCGAGGAGGGCACGGTGTCATACAGCAGCTGCAGGAAGTCGAGGGAGCACCTGGGGAGGAGACCAGCCGGGAAAACGAAGAAATCATGATAGAGACGGAGGAAAGCGTGTCAGGCTGAGCGAGGAAG